GAGTGCAATGGTGCGATCTTGGCTCATTGCAACCTCCGCCTCTCAGGTTCAAGCGATTTTCCTGCCTCAGTCTCCCAAGTAGCTGAGATTACAGGCATGCACCACTATGCCTGGCTAATTTTGTAATTTTAGTGGAGATGAGGACCACCCTGTTGGTCCGGGTGGCTTCGAACTCCTGACCTCAGGTGATCGGCATGCCTCAGCCTCCCAAAGTGCTGGGATTACAGGTGTGAGCCACTGCACCCAGCCACTTTTGGGTCTTTATAATTAGAATGAGAACAGCGATACACAGATTGAGTATCCCCAATCCAAAAATTGAGCACTGACATGATGGTCAAAGGAAATGGAGCATTTCAGATTGCAGATTTTTGGATTAGGGATGTCAATTGATAAGTAAAATGCAGATATAGCAAAATCTTTAAAAATCCAATATTTGAAATACTTCTAGTCTCAAACATTTTGGATAAGGAGTTCTCAGCTTATAATATTACAGTTAGCTTTTTGTTCCTTATTCTCTGTTTAAATGTGATTATTAGATCATTTTGAGTAACTTGTCACAGGCCCATCAGTATAAGTGATAATGGTGCTAAATCTTTGACGTAAGTATGGGCTATATGTGTGTGTGTGTGTGTATTTGTTTTTGATGTTTTAATTTCCATTGACAACTGCTTCTCTCATTATTCTCTTTCAAGCTTTTCTTGATTATATGCATTTAATCTTGCAGGTAAACTAAATTTAATATGTATAATTAATATTAAAATGTGCTATTATAATTATATATGTGTATTATATAATCATTCCTCATTCTACTACAAAAAAACCAAAGCAGATTGGAATTTTTTAACTGAAATTTATGTTGAATTTTTAGATTAATTTGGGATTAATGGATCTCTTGCCATGATTTGGAACCTTTGATCTTTCGTTCTCCAGAAAAGTTTTCTATAAATACTTTAATGGGAGTGGTATGAAGAAAAAGTAGACATTTTTATTAGCAAACAAAATATTATTGGTAGTAGGTGAGAATTATAAACATATGTTCAAAATACCATCCAGTATTGAGTTTATAATAGGACTTTTTACTCATTCATTTAGTAAACTCAAAAGTGATAAAGGCAGTATCAGGGATGACATCCATATTTCTGGCTTGGGGATTCACATTTAAAAAATTAAAGTTGTATTGTGTGATAGATAATATTTGTAAGCTTTTTGATTTGAGGAGGGCAATTATAATGTTCCAGGTATTGTGTTGGGTGCTGGAGATGTAATGTTGATCAACTGAGCACTAGACTTGCTTCTTATAAAGTGCCCACTATCTAGCTGGAGAAACAGACATTCACAACATGACAAATTACTCATGTAGTGAGTGCTGTTGTCACAGGATTTTTTGGGTATTGCTTAGCCAGCTGGAAACCTCTGTGGCTAGCAATGCCTCTGGTTGAGTTTTGCTTGCACCTGCTGCACTTGTTCCACTCACTCGGCCTGGCAGACTCTGCTTGCCTTGTGCTACCAGCCCAGATCCCATGCCTGCCAAGGGCTTGCCAGGTGTGGAGCAGCGATGGGTGTGTGAGCAAGCAAGCCCAGGGTCTGGTTACTGTGCACAGCCAGGCATGCTGCCTGCTGCAGTGGGGTGGGCAGCTCCAGGGGTTGGCACAAGTGCTGGTTCCATGTGAGGCTGTGGCTGGACCAGATGTACTGCAAGCAGCTTCTGCTATGGGCACCAGTGTCTGGACAAGGGGAACATGGTGGCACCCTGGAGCTCAGAGATATCAGGAACTGCAGAGCCCCAATGAGGGAGTTACAACATGTAACAGCCCTGGCTTAGAGAGCCCCAAGGCCTGGGCTACCAGAAGGGCTGCAGCTCTACTCTCCTTCTCATCACCCACAGCATGGGGCAGCAGGGAGCATGTTTCTGGCGGGCATGTTTTAGCCTGTTTGAGTTACAGCTCTTTTGGTTCTACCACCGTGCTCTGGCCAGCAGCTTTTGGGCTGGCCTGCCCCTGCTGCTGTTTCCTGTTGCATGGTGTGGCCACCCAGTGCCAACAGAGGGCAGGAGGGCTATAGTGTTACAATCCCTTTAGCTCCCACCTGCAGCTGGCAAGCTGGTCAGAGAAGTGTTATAGCTCCTTTTGCTCTTACTGTTTGGCAAGTCCTGAGTTCTTGTCCTACATCCATGAACAATGAGGTTATGTGGACAACTGGAAGATGAGCAAGGCAGAGAAGAGCTTTATTGAGCAATGGAACAACTCTCAGCTCTTCAGCAGAGAGGAGACCCAAAGTGGGTAGCTTCTACCCACAAGCAGGTAGTCCTGATGACTTTCAGAGTGGCAGAGTCGGGATTTTATGGGCTCAGAATGGAGGAAGTGATATTGGTCCATGGGCCTCCATTGGCTGGCCTGGAAAAAGTACCATCTGGTTGGCTGAAAGGCATCAAGGAAGTTCTCTGGGTGGCAGACTCCACCTGGAACTGGCAGCCCAGTCCCCAGGCTTCAGGCCGTCCCTGGCTTCAAAGTGGGGTTTTACTGGGGACCCTCTACTTCCCACCTAGAAACCTGCCTCCTGCTGCCATCAACATGCTACCCATGGTACCCGGGCTGTCTGTCCTGGGGGGTGCCCTTAGCTCCATACCATCCCACCCCCAGCCCCTCGATCTCCCTCCTTTGCTCGTTGGCACCCAAAGTTTCTGCCTCAGAAGCAGTTTCCTGAGGGGCCAAGGCAGCCAGGGGCTGGTGTGTCAGTGCCACCCTGAGCACATGCACACTCAGCCAGGTCACGACAGCTCCTGGGCTTGGCTTTTGGGACATGTCCACAACTTGGCTCCGCCACAGAATGGGTGATGGGAGTTGGGGGGTGCTAGGGAGTGGGAGCAGGTACTTCCGAACCTGCATGGGCAGGGGATTTCCCAGACCCTGAAGAGTGCAAGGATACCCAAGTCCAGAGCCATGGCTGGGCGGCTGCAGCTGTGCCTGGGAGTGTGGGCTCCTTCCCTGCCAACTCAGTAGGGTGTGGGGCTTCCACTGGGATCACCTGTTCCTTGTTGGCTCTGCAGAGCGCACAGCCCTGGCTGTGCCTCCTCAGCTGCAGCTGGCTTCCTCACAGTAGCCACTCTGGACAGGCTGCTGCTGCCATCACTGTGAAGGAAAAGCATAGGTTGATCTGCAATGAGAAAAGGAAGGAGGCCTAACTACTTGGGAAGGGTTGTGGGGCATGGTAGGCTACACTTTTGGTGATATTATGAGTTTTAAGCAAAGGCTAGAAATGTGTCTAGAAGTTCTTAGATGAAGAGGTGGAGCTACAGTATCCCAGTTAGTGGGAGCGTCTGACCATATGTAAAGGAGCTTGGTGCATTTGAGGAGCCAAAAGAAGGCTGTTGTCACCAGAACATAGTCAGTGATTGGGGTAGGGACTTGAAATGACTAGCTTGCCTTTCTTTTTTTAGTCTGCTTTTCAGTGTTCACTACAGTGTTGTAGAAAATGGATCAGAGGGTCAAGGATAGATATGGAGAGAGCATTTAGGAAGCTATTTATAATAGTTCAGGTGAGAAACAGTGGAGACGTTGCAACTAGGGATGAGACAGCAGAGATGGAGAAAAGTGGATAGGTTACAGAAACATGTAGGAGATGCAGTTCCCAGGGTCTGATAATGTACTGAGTATGTGGAGTGATGGAGAAAGGATCAGAGTGACACCCATATTCCTGATTTGGGCATTCAGTCATTTAAAAACTTGAAGTGTGAGTGAGTAGTATGTAATATTTGCAACTTTTTTTGAGGAGGACATTCCTTAACACTAAACTTAGCATTCCAGAAGAGAATATTTAGTGCTTTCCATGTTGATGACCTGGATGTTTTTTCATGCTGTAGATATTACACCACCATATTGCCTCAGTAGAGAAACTTGCTTTGACTACTTCCGGATGCCCACTTGTGATTCAGTGCAAGAACTTCAGAATTGTGCATTTCATTGTTCCCAGAGAAAGAGATTGCCATGATATTTACAACTCTTTGCTACAACTGTCGAAACAAGGTATTGTTCTTAGAGACCAAAGCTTACATGCTCAATTTGAGATGGGTTATCTAAGATACTTTATTTAATGTTTTATTATTGTTATTATACACTTTTTTACTCTGACAGTCAAGTTCTTGTGTACTCTGTCTCCCCAAAATTGGCCTGAAAGTAATTAGAAACTATTGATCTGATATAACAATGGTGTAAAGAAGGAGTAAGGGTAAGGAGAAAGTAAAGCATTTGTAGTAGAGACTTACAAAACCACAGGTTCATCTTAATGGTTTAAATCTATTGATAGCAAGTAGCACAACATATTTTTTAAGTGGGCATTTAAGTGGGTATTTCACAATCAAAGAGAATGACTTGGAAGTTGATATTACAGAATGAAAATTTTAAGGGAGGTCATGGTCCTTTGGTAGAAATGGGACTATATTCAATAGATTTGAATGGGAGGTATGGAAGATGAGCAGAGAAACAAGAAAGGGTGAATTCTATTTTAGTAGAAGTAAGGTCGAGAGGGATATCAGTGCTAAAGAAGAATCTTATCACTACTTATGCCCTGTGAATCTTGTTACTTCCTTTCCCTAACGTGACTTGAATTATATGTTGGACTGGATTTTAGTTGAGCAGCCTGGATTGCTACCTGCAAGAGCAGTCTCAGAGCAGGTCTTTGTTCATTCTTCTCTCTGAGGACATAAGCCTGTAACATCCTATTGTCTCAAGCCAGAGTTTATAGTAAAGATGATTCAGTGACTCCCAGGCTTATCGTTGTTCAGAAGGAAATGCCCCCAGAGCTCTGTGCAACAGTTGCCATTTTTGGTCCACACTGTCCTATAGGGATAGGTAATGCAATTTCATGTTCTGTATGCCATCTCTAGCTTTTCATTATAACATTAGTCTATTTTACATCTCATTTGGGAAAGTGGTTAGTAGGAAGTGAGTATTAGTGTCTTTATAATTTTACTTTTAAGAAAAAAATGCAATAGAGTATTTAACATGTAAGTCTGTTATCTTTACTTTTGCTGATGACATAAATCCAATCTCAGATTGATATATGTCTTTTTAGATTTACTCATTTGCATATAGAACGTCAAGTATATTCAAGTGTTAGCCATCTCTTTGAAGACTGTAAAGAAAAAATGAAGGAAAAACTGAATTTATTTGTAGTGTTTTAGTCTTATAAATTGCATTTAACATTTAAAATTTTGTATTCTATAGCAAAATACGAAGATCTCTATGCATTTTCTTATAATCCCAAACAAAATGATTCAGAACGACTACAAGGCTGGCAGCTCATTGACCTTGCTGAGGAATATAAGAGGATGGGAGTGCCAAATTCACACTGGGAGTTGTCCGATGCCAACCGGGAATACAAGGTACCTTAACAACGTTTTGGAGAAATTCAGAAAATGTTAGTACCAGAGAGTCAGAGGGTATCAGAGTACCAAGTTGTCTATGTACTGAAATGTGCTGTTCTTGCATTTAATAAGGTTTAAAGGTTTTTCAAGGTGGTTTTGAACTAAGAGTAGAATGGTTATGTTTTGTTTGATATTTACAGATTTGTGAAACTTATCCCAGAGAACTTTATGTTCCCTGGACAGCAAGCAAACCAATAATTGTTGGTAGTTCCAAGTTCCGGAGCAAGGGAAGATTCCCAGTTCTTTCCTACTATCATCAAGATAAGAAGGTAGGATGCTTTTCTTTTGATTTTGGAAATAAAGTATAACTCCTCTTCAGATTTAAGTATCTAAAAGAACACTTTTTTTTTTTTTGAGGCAGGGTCTTGCTCTTTTGCTGAGGCAGGAGTGCAGTGGCACAATCTCAGCTCACTGCAACCTCTACCTTCCGGGTCAAGCAATTGTTGTGCCTCAGCCTCCTGAGTACCTGGCACTACAGGGACATACCACTATGCCCGACTAATTTTTGTTTTTAGTAGAGATGGGGTTTTGCCATGTTGGCCAGGCTGGTCTCAAACTCCTGACCTCAAGTGATCAGCCTGCCTTAGCCTCCCAAAGCGCTGGGATTACAGGTGTGAAGCACTGTGCCTGGATCTATAACACTATTTTTTACATTAAAAGATTGCTGGCCGGGCATGGTGGCTCACACCTATAATCCCAGCACTTTGGGAGGCTGAGGTGGACAGATCAGGAGGCCGAGAGATTGAGACCATTTTGGCCAACATGGTGAAACCCCGTCTCTACTAAAAATACAAAAATTAGCTGGGCGTGGTGGCACACACCTGTAGTTCCAGCTAATCGGGAGGCTGAGGCAGGAGAATCACTTGAATCGGGGAGGCGGAGATTGCAGTGGGCCAAGATCACACCACTGCACTCAAGCCTGGCAACAGAGCGAGACTTCATCTCAAAAAATAAAAAAAAAGATTGCTAATGGAGAAGCACTGGCTTTTTGTTTAATTACATTTTTACAAATTTAAAACAAAACTACTCAAATATAGAAATTTTCATACTTCTTGTCATCTTTTCTTGACCCTCCCTTCCTTCCAGCAGTGACTTGAAAATAATAGAATTAGTTAACAGACGTGATCCTCTTCCTTTCCTGTGGTTCTTTCAATTCTGCTTGTATTTGGGAAAACCAGATCATTTTGATAAGACAACCACTGAGACAAGGGAGAGAACCAAGGGCATTTCAGGGTTCCATTTTAATAGTAAGCTTACATCAAAAGGATTTTGTAACATGAAGCAGTGTAGGAGACATCTTTATAGTGAGATGCTGTAATAAAGGTTGCTTATTACTGTAAAACTTACCTTTGTAGCCTACTAATAGAAGGCCAGGAGGCACTATATATTAAATGCTTTATATGGATATCTTCCTAACTTTGTAAGGTAGGCTTTACTAACTATCTGAAACTTTCAAATGGGGAAATTGAAGTTCAAAGAGGGTAATCACTTCCCCTGCATCTCACAGCAAATAAGTTGAGGAATTTCTGAGCCATTTCTGACTCCCAATCCTTTGTGACCTTATTTTTTTTTTTATCTGAGAACTTTTAGAATCTTCTTTTCCCTTAGTGTTCTGAAATTTATTTTTCTTTCTTTCTTTTTTTTGTTTTTTTTTTGAGATGGAGTTTCTCTCATTGCCCAGGCTGGAGTGCAATGATGCGATCTCGGCTCACTGCGTCCTCTGCCTCCTGGCTTCAGCGATTCTCCTGCCTCAGCCTCCTGTGTAGCTGGGACTACAGGCGCCTGCCACCACGCCAAGCAAATTTTTGTATTTTTAGTAGAGATAGGGTTTCACCATGTTGGCCCAGGCTGGTCTCGAACTCCTGAGCTCAAGTGATCCACTTGCTTCAGCCTTCCAAAGTGCTGGGATTATAGGCATGAGCCACTGCACCTGGTCTGTTCTGAAATTTCACAGTAATGTGCCTTGGCATGTCTTTTTAAATCTCATCCAGAAACTCAGGTCTCAGTTTTGGGAATTTCCTTCTGTATTTCTTTGGTAATTTCCTCCCTTCTATAAATTTTCTTTGCATTTTTTATTTATTAGTTGACAATTGGGTTTTGTAGAATAAACCTATACTTTTTAAAAAAAATTTTTCTCCTCTGTATCATATTTTTGTATTTTCTGGACGATTTCCTCAATCTTATCTCCATTCTGTGTCTTAGATCCTTTTTTGCTGTAGTGTTTTTAATATCTGAGAGCTTTTCCTATTTTCTGAAATTTCTAAAAATTGTTTTTTATTCTTGGATGTAAGGTTTTTGTTCTTTGAGGACGTTAAAAATTAAAAAAAAAAAATTCTCATGCTTCCCACATTAGTTATCTTTTTGCTCAGAGTTCCCTTTTTTTGTTTATTTAGCGTTTTTGTCTTTACTGTCTTTAAAATACCTGCTTCTTGGGTGACTTCTCATACTTAAGCTGTTTTGAAGTTTGTGTGCAGAAGTGGTTTGTATCTTGGTATTCTTTCTTTCTTTTTTTTTTTTTGTGACAAGGTCTCACTTTGTTGCCCAGGCTGGAGTTCACTGGTGCAATTTCAGCTCACTGCAACCTCCACCTCCCAGGTTCAAGAGATTCTCCTGCCTCAGCCTCCTGAGTAGCTGGGATCAAAGGCGTGTGCCACCACGCCCAGCTAATTTTTGCATTTTTAGTAGAGATGGGGTTTCACCATGTTGTCTGGAACTCCTGACTTCAAGTGATCCACCCGCCTTGGCCTCCCAAAGTGCTGGGATTACAGGTGTGAGCTACCATTCCTGGCTTTGGGATTCTTTTTGTTGTATAAATGGTTTCCTTAAAGAAGAAACCTCTAATTTTGGTCCCAATGAGTATGGTAAGTCTATTATTCAAGTGTGAGAAGAGTGATGGCAGGATTTCATATTTTGTTACGTAGACTTTACTTAATTCTTCTAGTTTTTGTAAGTATAGGGCTTCACCCCTGCCCACAACTGTGTCTGTTGTCTATAGAGTCTTCAGGTTCATCCTCATCATAGAATAAACTTTGTCTTCAAGGTAAGGGAGAATCTGGAAGTCTTAGCTAGTCCTTTTATAGGCATTCAACCAGTTCTCCTTCTTTCAGTTACATTCCTCCTCAGGCCTTCAGAGGTTTTGTGCCTTTTGGAATTTTGCTGCACAAAATACCTTGGTTCTTATTGACTTAAGGGAGTTAGCAGCTTTCTTTGTCCTGTAAAATTGGTTATCACTTGCTAGTCAGTTGTCACCTCCCCAAATTTTATTGACATCTCTATTGTTGACTTTTTTCTCATTCTCTTTGTCCCTGTGGTTTTATACATTTTAACTTTCTTTATTAGAACCTCACTTGGATTTTGGGAAGGAGCAGAGACAAAGGGGTAAGGGTTCAGACAGAAGTTTCTAATCTACTTTTCACAACTTAATCACAGAGACGTTAAATGGTTATGGCCTCTCTTGTCATAGCCATATGTGTAAACATTGTTTATTGGAAAGTTGGGCTGAAAACAGTTATTCAGTGGACAACTTAACAAGTCAAAAAGTAGGTATGAAAAGAATTTAATAAGGCAATGCTTATTTTCTGCTATTTTATCAAATTTTCATGGTTTTATTTTTTGTGTGAATTTAAAATATGCAGATGTGCAAATTTGTATATATTTTTGTTTTCCATTGGAAAAAAAGTATATGGATTTAAATCTTTTAAATTTTCTTTAGGACTTTAAACAATTGTAGGCTGGGCATGATGTTTTATGCCTGTAATCCCAGCATGGTGGAAGGTTGAGGTGGGCAGATCGCTTGAGCCCAGGAGTTGACAACCAGCCTGGGCAACATGGCAAAACCCCATCTCAACAAAAAATACAAAAATTACTCAAGCATGGTGTTGTGTACCTGTAGTCCCAGTTACTCTGGAGGCTGAGTTGGAAGGATTGCTTGGGCCCAGGAGGTCAAGGTTGCAGTGAGCCGTGACTGCGCCACTGCACTCCAGTCTGGGCAGCAGAACAAGACTTTGTCTCAAAAACAAACAAAAGACAGTAAATATTGAATCCAAACACTCACTACTTATAGGTATTCTTGCTCTATTCAGTTGACTATCTTTTAATCCAAATTTGAAGCTCATTTTTCTCATTTTATATTAAGATTGCTGATTTCTAATTAGAGATCTTAAAGCCTTTAGAAAGTAAAAGTTTCAATGTTGCTACTTAAAAACTCTTGTTCTGTTTTTATTGAGTATTTTTTACTTGAACTTCAGTTGGAAGTATCCTGTAATCTAAATGGAGCACAGAATGCAGATATCTTAGCAGTAGGTTACTTAACAGAGAATTGAGTGGGTGTTATTTCTTAGGACCCAGGCTTTCTTCATCAAACTAGATAAGAAGGTATTTAGTTTTCTTATGAAAAGAGAATATTGGGGAAACTTAGGGAATATCAATATATTGAAATAATATTTAATTCAAAGAAGATCTTAATGTTACTGCCTCTTAATTGTCATATCTGATTTGAATACTTTTGGCTTTTTTTCTTCTAAGCATTTTTAAAGACATGTTTTAGAGATCTTTGCATAATCTGTTTTCTGTCTTTTTAAAAATAGGCTGCCATTTGTCGATGTAGTCAACCACTCTCTGGATTCAGTGCCAGGTGCATGGAGGATGAACATTTGCTTCAAGCCATTAGTAAAGCCAATCCAGTCAATCGCTATATGTATGTCGTGGATACCAGGCCAAAAGTATGTATCTTGAATACAGCACAGTCTGCTAGTTTAGTTGTCTTTATTACTTAATAAGAGTTAGTAAACTTGCCTGTATTTAAAATATCTGAATCGTAGTTTTAAATTAACTAAGGCTGATGATACTAAGGAAATCAATCCTTTATTTAAAGGATACCAGTTTGGAAGACCAATTTCTGACTAACTCATGGTGATTTCTTTTTTTTTTTTTTATTTGAGACGGAGTCTTGCTCTGTCGCCAGGCTGGAGTGTAGTGGCGCAGTCTCGGCTCACTGCAACCTCGGCCTCCTGGGTTCAGGCGATTCTTCCTCCTCAGCCTCCCGAGTAGCTGGGACTACAGGCGTGTGCCACCACACCCGGCTAATTTTTGTATTTTTAGTAGAGACGGGGTTTCATCATGGCGAGAATAGTCTCGATCTCTTGACCTCGTGATCTGCCCGCCTCGGCCTCCCAAAGTGCTGGGATTACAGGCGTGAGTCACCACGCCTGGCCAGTGATTTCTTATGTCTTCTGATATTTATATAAATTCAGGGAAGCTGAATTTTATATTGAGAACTCCTCTTGATAGTGTATAAGTCTTATGTTATTGTGAAGAAATAATAAAATGTGTGTTGTGAAAAATAAATTCTTCTTTTTTTTTTTTTAAAGACAGTTGCTCTCTGTCACCCTGGAGTGCAGTGGCACAATCTCGGCTTTCTACAACCTCTGCCTTCCCAGTTCAAGCAAGTCTCCTGCCTCAGCCTCCTGAGTAGCTGGTATTACAGCCACGTACCACCACTCCTGGCTAATTTTTTGTATTTTTGGTAGAAATGGGGTTTCACCATGTTGGCCAGGCTGGTCTTGAACTCCAGGCCTCAAGTGATCTGCCCACTTCAGTTGGCCTCCCAAAGTGCTGGGATTACAAGCATGAGCCACCATGCCCAGCCTGAATTCGTCTTCTTATTTTTTGCAGAATTTTCAATTGGCAAAACATTTTTATGCTAAAATAATGGATTTTAGCTTGAAATATTCAAGAAAATAAGGAAAACAGATACGTAGGAAACATAGAACTAGAGAATTATAAATAGTGAACAGGAATTTGGGTTATCTTAGGCATCTGTGCTATGGGGCTAAATTTTTATCATTGGGACAAATGTCAGAGTCCCTTCTTTTTATTAACATAGTTAACCAATTCATATAGGATTCTGAAACTAAAGTAATTAAAATAATCCTCAGTGGTAACAGTTAACATTGCTTTTAATTTTTGTTATAGCATCGTATGCAGAGCTGGTGGGCTACACAAAAGGACATTGGCAGAATTATAGTGAGGATTTCTTCAAAAGTCCGGAATGATGAGAAAATAAGAGAAAGCAATGAGAAAAAGCGAGTGAGCAATATAGAACACAAGTGGTTTTTAGGCAGCTTTGTAAAAGGAATGGTCACTACTTTAGAAGTGATTCTCATCATTATGCAATTTCACAACAGATAATTTAGAAAACAGAAGAAGAGATTAATTTGAGTAAATTAAGAATTATTTGTCTGGGCATGGTGGCTCACACTTGTAATCCCAGCACTTTGGGAGGCTGAGGTGAGTGGATCACCTGAGGTCAGAAGTTCAAGACTAGCCTCGCCAACATAGTGAAACCCTGTCTCTACTAAAAATACAAAAAATTAGCTGGGTGCAGTGGCAGGTACCTCTAATCCCAGCTACTTGGGAGGCTGAGGCAAGGGAATTGCTTGAACCCGGAAAGCAGAGGTTACAGTGGGCCGAGATTGTGCCATTGCACTCCAGACTGGGCGATAGAGCAAAACTCCATTAAAACAAAAAACAAACAAACAAAAAAACCTTGTGTTTCCCAGTAATCCAAAAAAAAAAAAAAAAAAAAAAAATGAAGAATTATTTAAAAATAGAAATTGATAACTTGATAATCTTTTATTTGTTTTATTTTATTTTATCTTATTTTATTTTATTTCAAGATGGAATCTCTTTCTGTTGCCCAAGCTCTAGTGCAGTGGTGTAATCTTGGCTCACTGCAACCTCTACCTCCCGATTTCAAGCAATTCTCCTGCCTCAGCCTCCTGAGTAGCTGGGACTACAGGCACATGCCACCACACCCAGCTAATTTTTTATATTTTTAGGAGGGACGGGGTTTCACCATGTTAGCCAGGATGGTCTTGATCTCCTGATCAAGGGCAGATCTTGTGATCTGCCCACCTCGGCCTCCCAAAGTGCTGGGATTACCTGTGTGAGCCACCGTGCCTGGTCAATAATCGTTTATTGTATTAAAAATAAAAGACTTTATTAGGAGCTAAGAGTGTTGTTGATGTCTCTTATAAAAAAAATTCTAGAACACTTTTTCAGTAATATTAAGTGTAAAAGGTGATTGTAATATGAGACTTTTTGAAGATGAGATCTGACACAGTGATTTGTTCTTCAGACCTCATAGCTTTCATTTGTATAATTATCTTCTACACAGAAAATATATCATTCTTTGATTGTTTTACTAGTTAAAGGTAAATCAAGTAGTAATAATGTGGAAGCATTTTTTAACATCTAACTGGATTTTACTTTAGGTGCTGAATAACTAGTGAGTCAGTCAGTAGGATACAGTTTAACTACTTGTTACCAAATTGAGGTCGAATCTACAAAATGAAGAGCTCCTTTTTTTTTTTTTGTTCATTTTTACATTATTTTGAACTTGATTGCTGGAAGAGCTCATTTTCTTCTAATTTAGGCTCTGTTTTATCCACGTTCATAAGAATGTTTAATAAATTATATTAACATTCTATATGAAATCCTAGCCTGGAAGAATTAATCATCAAATCCTAAGGGGACCGCTGACAACATTTTGATCTAATAGCTAAAGACCATGGGACTATGAGCAATCTGTTTTTTTCCTGGAGACCAGTTTATTTTTGGCCCAGTTCTTGGAGGTGTATCACGATAGCTGATTACATGCCATATTACATGGTGTATGGGCCTTCAGTAATCTCTCATATAGAAGACCTGAAGTAATCTGAAGCATATTTCAGATCTGATTTTTAGGTGCCTATGGCTTTCAGAATGATCTGTGCTCTAGGCTTGTTCTGAAGTACATCTCATAGGTAGAAAAGTCCCCCAGCCAGCTCTGCTCAACTGAATCATTTAGAAATTAGATAGGAAACATTTCTTTCTAATTTTAAAATATTACAAACATATGAAAAACTGACTAAAAACAAAAATGAATTGGCTTCATCAACTTACAGGAACTTCTTGTCTACACCTTTTAATTAACAATCATATTACTTTATTATATCCTTCATTACTATTTAATAATGTGGTATTTTTACTTATCAAAAGATGGTAGCTTATTCAGTTTTGATGAGTTCCTTTAAACTCTCTACTAGCTAAAATACTGCTTATGTAGTATTTTCATCACATTTTGGTAAATTAAAGAGAAAAGTAGTTTACTAGTCTCAAAATTTCTAAAACTTTTAATTTTAGCTGAATGCAATGGCCAACAGAGCAGCTGGAAAAGGTTATGAAAATGAAGACAACTATTCCAGTATTAGATTTCAGTTTGTTGGAATTGAAAATATTCATGTCATGAGGTCCAGCCTTCAGAAATTATTGGAAGGTATATTATTGCTTACTTTTTTAGGCACCTTTGTCCAAAAGAAATCTAACGCTAGTCACATGTAATTTAGAATTTTCCAGTGGTCACATTTAAAAAAGTAAAAAGAAACAGGTGATGTTAATTTTAATAATATCCTTACTTAATATATTAAAAACATTATTTTAAAATGTAATCAAAATAAAAAAATTAGTAATGAGATATTTTTCTTGTCATCAAGTTTTAGAAGTCAAGTGTGTATTTTATAGTACATCTGAGTTTGGACAAGCCATATTTCAAATGTTTAGTAGCCATATTTTGTTATGGCTACTGTATTAGTACAATTCTAATGGTTTTGCAAAAAATTGTTATTAGATAGATATTCTTGAGTAGTCACTATAGTAAATATTAATTTATGGTAATGTTCATTTAAATATTCCATTCATAGTATGGAATTTAAAAAATTAAAATATAAGATTATTTTTAGTTAGATGCTTGTGCTACAGTGTTTTTAAAGAGATTAGAGCATTTTTGTAAGGACAGGAATAATAGAAAAATATATCCAAAAATCAGTTACTGAGCTTTTAACAGCATCTTTTCATTTATAAAGAGTCTTGCCTAATTATTTTGTTGTCTTCTTAATTCGCTTATCTAGAGAGATCTTGAAAAAAAAAACAGATTTTGGCCATATTCTAACTGAAATATTTTTATCACTTTTTTAGTCAATGGCACTAAAGGGCTTTCTGTCAGTGATTTCTACTCCGGTTTGGAGAGCTCAGGATGGCTTCGCCATATCAAAGCTATTATGGATGCTGCAATCTTCTTGGCCAAAGTAACACTTTATCTTTCATATTTGGTCTTGGGGTTTGTAATGGTGGGAAGGAGTAGATTTGTTCTGTTGGGGACTGGTGTCTATTCATCAGATAGCTCTTATTATTTTTTACCTCTTTAATAAACTTCGCTTTATTTTGAGCCTTAAAAATACCATGTGGCACTTAATGTGGAGACTTAAAAAAATGCTCCCAAATACTTTGAAGCAACATTTTTGCCTTTGTTTTTTGTTTGTTTGCCTGTGTTCTTGTTATTATATTTTGTTGTATATTTTGGAAATTATGCTGTGACATTATCATTGCAGGCATAGCACTTCTTTGTAACAGAATACCTGCTAGTGTGGTTTTCAAGTAGAACTTACTGGTTTACCTAAAAGTACGCTAGAATCTAAGTATGTGATCTTTCTTTTCAGGCAATAATGGTTGAAAATGCAAGTGTGCTGGTTCATTGTTCTGATGGTTGGGATAGGACTTCCCAGGTTTGTTCCCTGGGTTCTCTTTTATTGGATTCCTACTACAGAACAATCAAAGGATTCATGGTAAGGATTTATTTGGTTAAGACTGATGGTTCTTAAGTAGAAGTAATTTAATGTGCCTCCAGAGGACATTTGGCAATGTTGGATACAATTTTGCACTAAAGGAAATGATGAGACTGGCATCCATGGTAGTGGCCAGGGATATTGCTAACCTAAACAATTATAATATATAAAGTTTTTGCTGGGGGACCAGCCCCAAAGCAAAGAATTATCTGGCCCGTAATGTCAGCACTGTTAAGGCTGAGAAACCTTGAGTTAGACTCATTTCCATTTGTGCTAAGGCTGACAATAAACTTTAGATTTAAAGAATTTTTCTTCCTAAATGTTCCAATGGAAATATTCAGTATTTTCAGTATTTAGATTTTTATCTAACAAATGTAAATAATGTAATAAAACAAGGCACAAATAAGAGTACTTAAAATTAAATTCTGAAGGAAACCTTCTATTTAAAATACCTGCATTTGTAAGTGTAATAACATGTTAGGCATGTTTTATATCTGAAGATTAAATTTTTAGTTCAACAGATTTTCTCCTTTGTGAAGATAAAGCCCTAGCTCCTGTTTTTTGTTTCTTTGCTTTTAAAGGTATGATCAGATTTTTATTTGCTTGCTTTTAAACATGTGATCAGATTATATGTTTTCAAAATTTACATCTTGACTTGTGGTAAATTAAATGAAGAGATGTTAGAAAATTTTCATTAGTTTAGAATTATTAAATACAGTGCCGTCTTAAGGGAAGAATGAAAATCACCAGCCCTTTTTCAGCACCACTATTTACTGCTGCTAACATACTGACTCTGGGACAGGCCAAGTGGGAGTGCTGCTAATAAGAAAATAATGCTCAGCTTACCTTGAGAGTATAAGATAAGGAATATTTTCGTTGCCATGTTTGGCTTTAATTATTTCTTAGACACCCGAATGAAATCATAGTAAATGACCAAGGATGATGTGAGAGCTTCCTGGGCAATAGGAACAGTGTGAACTAAAGCATAATCTCTTTGGGTGACTGCAGGTAATGTGTGATGCATGGAGTTCAGAGTGAGTATTAGAGTGGATGCAGAGGAATAGAGTGGGATCAGGACCTGAGGAAAAGAAGGCTTTTTTTTTTTTTTTGCAAAATACAATGATTTTATTACTGAACTCAAAAGATGACAGATTACATTTCAATGAATATAATAAAACACATACAACATGCCAGAAAAAAAGGAACAATAGTAATTATACAGGACATTAAATTGAACATTTTTCAGAATGCTGAGCAAGAAATTAAGTATAGATTATAACACTTTCACTTTTGTATTCATTCAACAAATGAATGACTGAGTTAACTATGCGAAAGATTCTAGATCTGGAGGATAAATAACATTTAAACATTCACCAAAGTGAAGAAAGATAGTAAGCAATACTTTTTATGTAAATACTATATATACTGGCATTGTATAATAAACACTGTAAAAGAAAATTACAGGTAGCTAAGGAAGGACAATGTAAAAGGAAATAGTTTAGGCTGGGAGGAGAAGTGTTGGTAGAGGAGAAAGGCAGTTGGAAACATTTATCAATCAGATAAAAATTAACCAGATGAGGGGAGAGATTCCTACAGAAGCACTGGCTTGAATAAATGCTTTGAGATTAAAACAAACAAACAAACAAAGCATGGCCTACTCAGAGAACTGAGGAAGTCCCTTTGCGAAGATATATTGTGAGTGAAGGAAGATGATTCCAGGTGAGGCCTGAAAGCCAGGTGAGGCTTTCTCCTCTTTGGATAATGGAATCTATTAAAGAGCTTTACACAAGCACACAGTAACTTTATTGGATGTGCTTTTAAAAAAAAAAAAAAAAAAGTCTTGGTGTCTTGAAGGCCAAAGGGAGTGGGAATGGAGGCTAGGAGGTCAGTATAGACACCGTTACTGTTGTTATTGTTACTGTTACTGTTACACTGATAACTTACCAGACAAAAGAGTTTTTAGTTTTACAGAACTAAAGCAGTGACACACAAGTAAAAGGGGAGGTGATGGGATCCAGGGATGTTTAGAAAATAGAGTCAGTAAGAATTGGTCATGGGCAGGGCATGGTGGTTCACGCCTGTAATCCCAGCACTTTGGGAGGCCAAGACAGGTGGATCATGAGGTCAAGAGCTCGAGACCATCCTGGCCAACATGGTGAAACCCTATCTCTTCTAAAAAAATACAAAAATTAGTTGGGCATGGTGGCACATGCCTGTAATCCCAGCTACTCAGGAGGCTGAGGTAGGAGAATTACTCAGGAGGCTGAGAGGAGAATTGCTGAGGAGGTGAAGGTTGCAATGAGCTGAGATTGCGCCACTGCACTCCAGCCTGGTGACAGAGTGAGACTCTGTCTGAAAAAAAAAAAAAGAAAAGCAAAAAAAGAATTAGTCATGGTTTGGATGTAGGATAGAAGAGAGGAGTCTTCCTCTAGGATGATTTCCAAGCTTCTGTATTAGGTGCCAGGATGGATGGTGCTGCTGTCTGGCTCTTCACTGAGATGAACCGAGGAATACATTTGGTTAGAAAAATATTGAGTTATCCTTTAAACATGGTTGTGTAGAAGAATGGCAGAAAGACCAGAATAAAACCTCTGGCTCCAGCCAAAAGATCACTTGCCCAAGGTCACACAAAGTGGTGAAGCCAGGATTGGAGATTGCCTAGGCTCCAGTGACTGCATCCTCAGCCATAACAGTGCGTGGCCTACTGGCAAAAGCAGGGGCTTGAGACAAAATCAGAGAAGGTAAAACTGGCAGTTTTGACACTATGAAAAAAATGTGCTTGGTGACAACATAATGACGTGATAAAGTATACTAAATACTACGAATATGTGTTTAGACTGAAAAAGTTAGAAATCTGTTTTTCGTGTTAACATCTATTCTCTTCAATGGATTGAGTTTATCTTAAAAGTATGGAAAAGATAAAGTCAATCCATTCAAGAGGATAGATGTTAACACTTGGATTTGAACGTGAACTCAAGTAAGATGATTTCATTAAAATCATTGTTCTTTTTATTAGTTTTTTTCTTCAAAAATGTAGTATATTAATAATGTTCAAGTAAGCTAAAAGGTTTAAAATCTCTACCTCAGTCTATCACCCAGAGTTAACTTTGTTAGCAGTTTTGGTTTATATTTTTCCAGCCTTTTTTCTATGGTATATCATCTTCATACATACAAAAACTTAAATGTAGTACTGCTTTATAACATGTACTTTTCACTTAAAATGTAGTAAATCCAACAGAAATAATTTAAGTCACACAACTATTTCTTTTTATGCATTTTACTCTTCTTTAACCTCACCTCGAATCAATGTTTTGGCAATTTTTGCCTGTGGTTTTTTGTGCTGTTTTGTTTATAAGTTAAAAGTGTATAGTAAATACTGTTTTTAAACTAATAAGACTTAATCAAGCCTAAACAATAATTGAAAGTAGTCAGAAAGTGAATTTTACTTTTTCTCATTAAGGTTTTAATAGAAAAGGACTGGATCTCTTTTGGACATAAATTTTCAGAGAGGTGAGTCACAGTTATACAATCATATATTTTATAAAATTAGTAAACTAAGTTTAGAACGCCAGAATGTTTCTCTTCTTTATGAACTCACATACGTAATGGGAGGTAAGAGTGTCATGGTTTTGTACTGTATTTTACATGAAGACATTTTATCTTATTTTTTTTCTGTAATTTCTTTCAATTCTAGTACCCGTGTTAATTTTCATGGCTATTTATTACCTTCCTTTTTGGCTGCGTTATATTTAGAGATGGTAACAGATCTTTTAAAGCTGTGGTTTAAAAGCTCATAAATGATTTCAATAAAAATTATGGGTTTTTGTGCTAATGTAACAGTGCTTTAGGAATATTTTTGTATGTTTAACAATACCTGAACAATGGACTTCTTTCAGAGGTATTTTTAAAAGCCTGTACTTTCTGTGGGGTTAGGTGTGGCCATTTGGATGGTGACCCAAAGGAAGTCTCACCAGTGTTTACTCAGTTCTTGGAATGTGTGTGGCATTTGACCGAACAGTTTCCACAAGCCTTTGAATTCAATGAAGCATTTCTTCTTCAGATCCATGAACATATTCATTCATGCCAATTTGGAAACTTCCTTGGAAATTGTCAGAAGGAAAGGGAAGAGCTCAAGTAAGATGATTCAAGGGTCTCCTTTTCCCCACTAGTTGGCCGAGATCTAACCAAAATCATGGGTGAAACTTAATAAAATATCTTGACAATTTGCAACTTTATTGTAAAGAGTTTATTGTTTATATTCCTGAAGCTCCTGAAGCTGAGTATCCTTCTAATATTCCCCAACCTTTCAGGTAATAGTAAAAACATATGATAAAATGTGTTTTGAAGTGTAGCATACTTACAGAAAAGTACATACAGCGTAAATGTGAAGCTCCGTAAGTCTTACCAAACATACACGTATGTAACGAGCATCCAGAATATGAACTGTTGCCAACAGCCTGGAAAGTCTCCTCATGCTTCTTTTAATCTGCATGTATATATTTTAGAACAGAGAAATCTTTACACCGTTTAATTTCCCAGAATGTATTCGTTGCTAGTTTTAAAGTATGAAATATTTTAAACTGTTGGTTTGCTTTAAGGTAAGATGGAATCTTACAGTTCTTCTCACATTTCTAAACAGACAGGTCTTTGGGGAAAATAAATCTACCTATGTTGGCTGCAGCATGTCTGTCCTTGGGCAGGGTCTCAGGAAAGCTCTGAGACACTACTTGACCCTGGTTCATGTTATTTCCTGACCAGTGTTTGGGGATGGGGGTTTTTGCCTAAGCTTTGATACAAGGGAGATCTCTGGAGTAGGTCTTAGAGGTCCTATGTATATATTATTTTTCCACTTTCCGCCGGGATACCTACATTATGTTTACATGGTAAATGTCCAGGTTAAATCATTCTTACCTTTGCCCACCTACACTTAGATTTGCAAAATAATTGACTTTTTAAATTCTTGCATAACAACCTGATTTTGCCCATTTCCCTTTTTGTACCCACTCACACTTACTTGTGTTCCTGCCCTGTGATACTTGCCACTACCGCCCAGACATGGGGTTAAGAGAAGAAGTCCAGGCAGAAAGATACATTAGTGTCTTGTTCTATGTGTATGTTTGTGGTGGAACGGAGAACAAGTTTTTGAAATTGTGTGAGTTGAGAGGAATCTCTTAAAATATATGGTTTTGAGAGAAAATGGTATACCGTGTTGTGTTCAAGAAACATGGCTTTATTACCTAATTATGAATGAAAAAAGACAATAGAGAGAATATAGAATTTTGAGACAAGGTTAGACTATGAATAGAAGAAAAAACTAAAATTTAAATCTACTTTGAAGCCATTGCCTGATTTATAAAAATGAGTATTATCATTACTACTTTGCATCTATAGGAAAGATCTCTGTGTTTTTCTCATTACATTAAGGTTGAAGGAGAAGACTTATTCCCTGTGGCCATTTATTTTGGAAGACCAAAAGAAGTACCTAAATCCTCTCTACAGTTCCAAATCTCATAGATTTATAGTTTTGGAGCCAAATACAGTCTCTTTCAATTTTAAGTAAGTTGACATCATTGAAGTATTTATATTTGATTTTTCTTAAACACAATTTATTGAAACTTTTTCTTTTTGTCATAAAGGTTTTGGAGGAACATGTACCACCAATTTGATCGAACACTGCATCCTAGGCAGTCTGTATTTAATATAATTATGAATATGAATGAGCAAAATAAACAGTTAGAGAAAGATATTAAAGACCTAGAATCTGTAAGTATTCTGAAGTATCTAATTAATGTATTTGGAATGTGAAATTAGTTTATGATTAAACCAATACTTGTATTGTTGGTATAAATCAGCACATAAAAAAACTTCTGAAGTAAATATAGTTGCTTCAAAATTAGGTCAGCCCTACTTTGATTGAATATGCTAGTTTGAATCATTTTCTTTATATTTTAAAATACATTAAAATACTGAAAGTATATAGCATAATGTAGAGATAAACACAATAAATATCTGTGTACCCACCAGCTAGCTTTTGTGGGATTTTTACATTTACTATATGTGCTCAGGTCTTTCTTGTTCTTGTTTTAAGAAATAAAACATAGATCTATTTGAAGACCCTCTATACTTACCCAGTCTTCACCCATGTATTTTGAGGTGGGCAGATTTCACTGTGCTGAATTTGGTCTGAGTCCTTCTTGGGCATGTTGTTATACTTTTATTACTTATGTTTGTATCCACAATTTATAATACCGTTTCTCTTGACTTAAAATATTTTTATTGTGTACTGAAAAAACAACAAATACTATCTATAAGTGTTTGTATGAGGTTTAAAGGGAAACAATGTATATGCCCATTTACCCTTCACTCTGCTTAAAAAACTGATGTTTTAAAACTATGTAAAAGTTACCATACTGTTGATGTGCTTCACTTTGCTCAACATTAACATTTATCCATGTTGATACATGTAGCTTTAAATCATCTGTTTTATTAGTAACTACTGTATAACTTTCTATTGTATGAATATATCACAGTCTATCCATTTAGCTGTGGATGCATATTTAAATTGTTTTCAGTTTTGGATTTCCATGATTCCAAATGAAGTTAAATGACTTTTAATATTTGTTGGTCATTTGGTTTTCCTTTTCTGTGAATGGCCTATTCAAACCTTTGCTCATTTTTCTGTTGGCATATTTGCCTTTTTCTTTTTCTTTTTTTTTTTTTTTTTTTTTTTGAGATGGAGTTTCACTCATGTTACCCAGGCTGGAGTGCAATGGCGCGATCTCGGCTCACCACAACCTCCGCCTCCTGGGTTCAGGCAATTCTCCTGCCTCAGCCTCCTGAGTAGCTGGGATTACAGGCACGCACCACCATGCCCAGCTAATTTTTTGTATTTTTAGTAGAGATGGGGTTTCACCATGCTGACCAGGATGGTCTCGATCTCTTGACCTCGTGATCCACCCGCCTCTGCCTCCCAAAGTGCTGGGATTACAGGCTTGAGCCACCGCGCCCAGCTGCCTTTTTCTTATTGATTTGTAAGAGTTGTTTTTGTGCCAGGCAGGAATTCTTTGTTAGTTATATATATATTATAAATGGCTTTATCCAGTCTATTCTTGTCTTTTCCACTTTATTATTTATGGTATGCTATATATAGATGTTTTGAATTTTCATGTCAAATTGATCAGTCTTTGTTGTTTGCTTTTTGTGTGTGTCTTGTTTAACAAATCCCTCTCTACCCTAAGACTTTCCTATAATATTTTTTCTGCCATCATATATAAGCAGAAAGGATCAGTAAGTACATATGTATTTTTAAAATCCTAGACAGTCATAACAGTAAAACTGTCTTATCTACCTCTCAGGCAGGAGTATCCCTTAGTCATGCTTTAGATAAGGAAGTAATGACTGCTTAAGCAAATTGTAGAAGGATATGGTCAAGAGTGGCAAGTCCAAGATGATTGGTAATATGGGAAGTTTATCTGGACAGTCTAAGAACTTGGAAAGCATGATACCCTGCTGCAGGACACTTTAAAAATCTTCTGTTAAAAAAGTAAAGTTCTGTTGTGTTCCAAAGTCTGTTATTTTTACCCAACAAACCACTATAGGAAAACCATGTAAGAAAAGCTCTTTACAGTCAGTGAGCCCTTTAGCTTCATAAGTAATTGTTTGTTGTGTTTTCAGTGTGAATATTTCATATACATTATGCTTTCTAGGTAATATATGTTGGTTTCAAGTGTGGAAGCCTAGTGATCGTCTGCAGTCAAGTCTGGCTGGAGTGTTTGTTTAATAAATATAAAAACTACCATTTTCCACAGCAAAAAATTAGAATTTTCAAGCATGTCATATGCATTAGATGTTTTTAATTTTTTGAGATTTAGTTTTGCATTATACATACAGAGAACATATTTTGCAAAAGCATGTTTTCTTTTTTCATGTAACATATTGTGGTATATGCAATTAGTAATTTTTTTTTTCAAATTTTTGTTTGTTCTAGAAAATTAAACAACGCAAAAATAAGCAAACAGATGACATCCTCACCAAGGAATTGTTACATTCCGTTCATCCTGAATCACCTACTCTCAAAACTTCCCTGTGTTTTAAAGAGCAGACTCTGCTACCGGTGAATGATTCTCTTCGAACTATAGAGGGCAGCAGCCCGGCAGATAATCGTTACAGTGAATATGCAGAAGAATTTTCTAAATCAGAGCCTGCTGTGGTCAGCTTAGAGTATGGTGTGGCAAGAATGACTTGTTAGACTCAGAGTTTTTTCTGCAATGAGAGGATTATTGTGAGGATGGTCTGTAAGCATTACCAAAAGGAATTTGTCTAATAAATATTTTAAGGCTTAACAGTAGGCTAATAGTTGAAGGAAGGGTAATAACTGTCCTTATGAGAGAAATAAGGCATTTTAATTGCACTTACAGCAAGGAATGACATTCAGTTCTGTAAGAATTGAGTGGTATTTGATGTATTTACTCAAAACATAATTTGCACTGTACACTAGTGAATTGACATTTCTGTATGATTTATGTTCATTCAGCCAAACATCGGTAGCCTTCCTTAAGTATAATTTAACTTCAAGACAACAAAACTTGACAACATAGTTTCTTAATAATTTATATGGCATGTACTTTCAGTTATGTAGCTTTGTAACTATGTGTATTTACATAGTTTGCCTTTTAGTGATATTTAATGTTGAAGTGCCATGAAAAATATTTCTAAGAAAGCCTTAAATTCTCAGTGGATTCTTTACCCTTAAGTTTTATAGCCTATAACAAGATTTTTTGTTTTGTTTTTCCTTTGGTCAGCCTTGTTCTGTGTGTAAAGAATTGCGCTCTCGTTACTGCTGGGGTTGCATGCTACAGTACTTCTATATAAACAGTTGTAGAAGTACACTTTTCACATTTAGCCTGCCCCACTTTTGTATTCAAAATAAATGAAACTGAATGTTTATTTTGATCATAACTTGTTTAGTGCCACATTTGATGATTTGTTATTTACAGCTTAGATTATTGATTTCTTGAATATGTATAAGAACATTTGACTGTCTTTTATATGTGGATTACTGCATTCCATTGATTCTTATTTTGTGGTTGGCTTTATTTCTTTCATAACTATGTAAGTTTAAAGAGCTGAAGCTCTAAAACTGTTCTTAGAAACAATGATCGTACATGCATATGTATATTTTTAAACTGCCTTATTGCTCGATGATTTGCTGTTCCTGGAGTATCTAACTTTCAGTTTACCCAAAAACTTTTGGGTAAATAAAAAAGGGAAGTACAGATAGTTTAGTTTCTGCATGGTTGCATGAATTTTGAAGTCATTTCTATGTGGAACATTATTTTTCTTCTTGTTAAATATAGAAGATAAAAGAAAATTAAAGAGATTCTAGTACAGAGTTATTGTTTAACAAAAGCAACTTAAAACTCTGGGAAGCATTTCATTTTGCCATGTTATATTAACTGTTTATTTTACGTACTAGTACATATCTTAAATTACCAAAAACTAAGCAAAACAAAATGTAAAAACCCCAAAACTATCACTTGGAATTAGCAGTATCATCCAACTGGCTTTAAAATTAAAAATTTAAATAACATGGTGGCATGAGGTACAATTCAAGTATTAGGAAATTTGCAAAGGGTCCCTTATGCTGCTTTCTGTTACACCTCTATTATATTAGTTTTGAACATAAACATCTTTTTCAGACAAAAAAAAAAAGCTTTATTGTATAAGAACTTATCTAATCCTGTTTATTATTCCAGTGCTTTTCTGTAATATATTATGTAATTAAAGAATTCCTTTTTAAACAGTAACAGAAATACACTATAAAATGCAGTATGTGATTAACCAATCCTACTTCCATATTTAAGCACTGGGAATAGAAACTTAATCTCTGTGACTACAAAGGGAAGTTTTTGTGCCTTGGTGTTCCAGTCACTGATCGTGGTTTTAGAATCTTCTGTGGCTGACTTCTTGTATTCAACTCTGGTTTATTATCTTAATCTTCAACTTTAGACATATATTTGTGTGTTTAATGTGCTCACAGATGGACTGAGAAATCAGTTATGTCGCAAGTGACCTACAGGGTATGTGTTGGCAAAAGCAGATTGTGTATATGTCTTATAAAGTTGGATTTATGTTCGGTGTATTTGGAAATGTATAGCATGTAAATTATTTCATATATTGTTTAAAGGTAACTAAATGTTCACATCTTACTTTGAATGTTTTTCTTCTGGATAAAGCAAATGGAATCAAGTTTTAGTTGTTGTTTTTTTCTATTCTCACCTAGGCAAGTAGACTTGCCCATTACATTAACATAACAGCATAAGGTTTGAGGAGTTTGTTTTCCAAAAATTTATTGATAAATAATACCTGTTTCATACAAGGCTCATCAGATGTAGGTAATAATGTCACTAAGTTTTCCTTTTGTTCCTGTCACCTGCTCATGTTACAATCAGTATTTTATCGTGACCTCGCCGACTTGATGGAAGGCAGGGTCCAGTGAGTACAACAAGGTGAAATGTCTCTCCAAAGGCAGATCTGGATGTAACTATGAGGAAGAAAATGACTGGCTGAAAAGAGGATAATTTTTTTGAGGGTATTTTGAAAAGGTCGGCTAGGCTAGCAGTAGCTCAGGTAATCTTGAGTAAATAAAGATGAAGGGAACTCTTGTTTTTCAAACAACTTCAATTTATTTGGTCGGGTAGCAGAGCAGGGAGATGGTGTCAAGCCTGTTTTGAAAAAAATATTGCAGAAGGTCAGCTTGAAAATACTGAAAAATTTCCAGTTGACATGCTAAGTTGGATTAAATGCTGATCATCTACAAAACTGTATAGTTGGTGCAAAGGTAATTGTGGCTCTTGCCATTGAAAGTGATGTCAAAACCGCAATTACTTTTGCACCAACCTAATACAGCAGTTGGACTTTTATTAGTGACGTTGATTGATCTTCTTCAGTCATTTCAGTTATTTGTTGGCTTTTCCATGTCGAATTCCAAGTGCCATTAACATACCCTGATTAATTAAAGAAAATTTGGAGCCTGTTTAAGGAAATTACATCTAGAAGAAAGCCTGGAATCTAGAATAATTATCTCAAAAAAGAGTATATATACCATTGTACTTGATATAAGAAAATATAAACATGAAACCCTGACATTTTAATCAACAGTATTTGTGCTACTCTAGTTATTTCTAGGAAAGTAAAATATCCATTTAAATGGCAACTTTTGTAAAATAGTGGCCTACATAACTGAAAGGAACTGTGAGAAGCTAGTAGTAGACTCTATAGCCCTGGTGTTCAGTTTCTGATTCAGGAGATAGGGATCGGGACGCTGGAGTTAAAATCATTTACATACCAATAAATTGTTTGCATTTAGCAATGTTTTGGAGATTGTGATGCAAATGGCTAGGGAATCACACTTTGAGAAACACTGCTGTGAACCACCTGTCAGTAAACACCTCTTTTGTTCTTAAAGGGATGCAGAATTATTCTTTTTTTTTTTAATAGAGCTTCACTCTGTCACCTAGGCTGGAGTATAGTGGCACAATCTCAGCTCAGCTCACTGCAACCTCAACCTCCTCAGTTCAAGCAATCCTCNGAGTGCAATGGCACGATCTCGGCTCACCACAACCTCTGCCTCCCCGGTTCAAGCCATTCTCCTGCCTCAGCCTCCCAAGTAGCAGGGATTACAGGCATGTGCCACCACACCGGCTAATTTTGTATTTTTAGTAGAAACAGGGTTTCTCCATGTTGGTCAGGCTGGTCTTGAACTCCTGACCTCAGGTGATCCACCCGCCTCAGCCTCCCAAAGTGCTGGGATTATAGGCATGAGCCACTGCACCCAGCCTCAGAATTACTCTTGTAAAAAGAGCAACAGGCTGGGGAGCATCACACTTCTGAAACATTGTGATACAAGTAGAGTGAGAAACCTTTGTTTTAAGCCACTGAGATTTTGGGCTCTTTGTTACCATGACATAACTGAGCCCCTCCTGAGGGATGAAACCATTTGTATAAAGTTCGATTTTTCCATTGGTTCCCAAATGACCTTTGTCCTGCCATTTTGCATCACTATCCAGCTGAGGTTTATGCTTTGCATTTGGTTATAGCTCATCAGTTTCTTGTGGAACAGTCAGTCCCCTCACCTCTTCCCCTCTGCATTGACTTTTAGCACCATACCAATTGTAGTTTTCCCACTTTCTGCTTTTGTTTGATTGTTTCTTCAAGGTGTCATTTAACTTGTTCATCTGTCTACTGTACCTGCTGTCATCTAGGTACTAGATGAAATTCAGAGTTAGTGTTTTAGGAAAGATGCTGTGTACCTTACATTGAATTACTGCGGGAGGATATAATGTCAGGTGGTTCCACTGTTAGTGATGCTGAATTTAATCACTTGGTTATCTTTTCATTGTAAAGTTATATATATTTTTTCCCTTTGAACTCAGTAAAAGCTCTATGGGGCAATATTTTGGCATCAAATTGAATATCCCATACTCTAACAACCTACCCATTATACTTGCCCAAATCAATTATTTCATTGGTGTTACAAAATGCTGATTTTCTAATTTTGTCTTAATTTTTACACTTATTTGCGGGCTTTTTTTCCCGACAGTCTTGCTCTGTCGCCAGGCTAGAGCGCAGTGGTACGATCTTGGCTTACTGCAACCTCCGCCTCCCAGTTTCAAGCGATTTCCCTGCCTCAGCCTCCTGAGTAGCTGGGACTACAGGCTCACACTACCACGCCCGGCTACTTTTTTGTTTTTTAGTAGAGATGGGGTTTCACCATGTTGGCCAGGATGGTCTCGATCTCCTGACCTCGTGATCTGCCTGCCTCAGCCCCCCAAAGTGCTGGGATTATAGGCTTGAGCTGCTGTGCCCGGCCTTGCTGGCATTTTTAAAAGAAGTGCTGGGTCCAGTGACTACAAATATTCAAGGTGAAATGTCTCTCTAGAGACAGATCTGGATGTAAATACGAGGAAGATCTGGATATAAATATGAGGAAGAAAATGACTGAGAAGAGGATATTTTTGTTGAGGGTGTTTTGAACAGGTCAGCTAAGCTAGAAGTAGCTCAGGGAATCCCGAATAATTAAAGAAGAAGGGAATTCTGTTTTTTGTTGTTGTTGAGACAGTCTCGCTCTGTCATCCTGGCTGGAGTGCAGTGGTACTATCTCAGCTCACTGCGACCTCCGCCTCCCTGGTTCAAGCAATTCTGCCTCAGCCTCTCATGCAGCTGGGATTACAGGCATCCACCACCACGCCTGGCTAATTTTTTGCATTTTTAGTAGAGATGGGGTTTCACCATGTTGGCTAGGCTGGTTTTGAACTCCTGACCTCAAGTGATTTGCCTGCCTTGGCCTTCCAAAGTAGGGAATTCTTATTTTATTTATTTATTTAGAGACGGTGTCGCAGTGTCGCTGTGTTGCCCAGGCTGGAGTGCAGTGACACAATCTCAGCTCACTGCAATCCCCACCTCCAGGGTTCAAGTGATTCATGCCTCAGCCTCCCAAGTAGTTGGGAACACAGGGACACGCCAGCATGCCCAGCAATTTTTGTATTTTTTTGTAGAGATGAGGCTGGACTTTCAGGCAAAAAACTAAGTCACTTGCAAGGGAAGGAAATCAGGCTGGCTTCAGACTTCTTGACAATATACAAAACAAGAAAATAATGGAACAACGTTTTCAAGAAAACCTAGGAAAGAATTGTGAGCATGGTCATATGAAAATGGCTTTGTTCTTACAGAACACACACTTTAAATATTTAAGGAACATGGGGCATCATATCATAACATCTTATTCTCATCAGGAAAAAATGTCCCTTCTACTGTACTTGCCAGTTTTTCAGTGTGGCTGAGATTGTTTCAAAATAAAAAAGCAAGGAAAACCCTGAGAAAGAAGAGCAATGAGGCAGAGCCAGCTCTATCACATGGCCTGGATAAATACAGCTGGATGCGTGTGGTACATCAATAGAGATTACGAATGCTACAGAAGAGAATCAAGAACTACATAAAAGTGACATCTCAAATCACTGACAAGATGAACTTACTAATAAATGATTCAAACAACCAGACAGCCATTTGGGAAACAGATAATCTGGATCCATACTTCTTTCTATATATCAGAACCAATTCCAAATGGATCGATCAAATGTAAAAAAAAATCAAACCCTTTAATTGTTAGGAGAACATGATGAATCCTTTATAACCTAGTTTTAGAGAAGTCTAATTATAATTCAAAACAAGAAGTAATATAAGTCTAATAAAATTCTACCTCCTATATCAAATTCTCCTATATGGCAAAAAACATAAGAAGCAAATGACAAACTGGGAGAATATTATTTGCACATCTGTTTTCTGATGTCTCAGGTTCATCTTATATTCTCCCTTCAGTTTTGGAATCAACCATTTGTCCAAGAAATCTTTGTTCCTTTGGACGTTATATCACAAAGGGTTAATCTTCCTAAAACATAAAAAGCTCTTTAGAAAAATAATAACTACCAATTTTTTTTAGAAAAAATAGGCAAAAGACACAGACAATTGACAGAAAAAGTGCAAATGACCTTAACTCTATGAAAAAAATTTTTTTAAAAATTAAGGCTTTATCCACCAATGCTATCTTTACATGCTCAAAACTTACAGACTACAATTCTATATAGAAGAATAGAAGAGTTTGCATGTCTTAATAATTGTTTTCTTAGTTCAAGAGCTTCCTTTTTTGTTGCTATAGTGAAGTACACTATCTTTAATAAAGGGTCCCTTTGTTGCCTGTCTCTTGGTTTATACTGTCTTGTTTCAGGAGAATGTTTACTTACACATGGTGGTTCATGCCTGTTATTCCAGCACTTTGGGAGGCTGAGGAGGGCAGATCACTTGAGGTTAGGAGTTCAAGACCAGCCTGATCAACATGGTGAGGGAACTCTACAACATGAGGCTGGTCTCGAACTCCTGACTTCAGGTGATCAAGTGCTGGGATTACAGGCGTGAGCCACCACACCCGTCCTTTTATATTTCTTATTGTACGTTCAGTTATTCATATTTCCCTTTGCAAATAAAATTTAATTTTTATTTCTGAAGTATTTTGCTTTAGCGTATTTAAGTTCAGTAGTTCTTGTTTGACCTTTGTCCTCCATCTTTATTCAGCGCTTTGTATTTATCATAAGTGGCTGTTTAGCATATCAGTACTTGCATTTTTATTTATATTTTAATCCATCTTTTAGTTTTGTTACCATTTGCCTCTGCCTATAACCTTTCTCTTTTGGGTT